TGGCCCATCTGCTTTTGTAAATAAAGTTTTATTGGAATACAACCATGCCCATTTGTGTACATAATGTATGTAACTTCTTTGCCTTACCACAGCAGAGTTGAGTTGCACTAGACATACTGCAAGCATAAAATAATTTGCTATCTTGCTCTTTAAGAAAAAGCTTTGGCCAAAACCGGTTTGGCTCAGTGGATAGAGTGTCGGCCTGCGGACTGAAAGGTCCCGGGTTCGATTCCGGTCGAGGGCATGTACCTGGGTTGCGGGCACATCCCCAGTAGGAGATGTGCAGGAGGCAGCTGGTCGATGTTTCTCTCTCATCGATGTTTCTAACTCTCTATCTCTCTCCCTTCCTCTCTGTAAAAAATCAATAAAATATATTTAAAAAAAAGAAAAAGCTTTGTTCTAGATCAGTGATTCTCAATGTGTGATCCTCAGACCGGAATCACCTGGGAACTTGTTAAAAGCCAAAATTAGTGATTCTGCCCCAGGCCTACAGAAATTCTGGGGGTGGAGCCAGCAATCTGTTTTAAGAAGCCTTTCTTATGATTTTGATACACATTAAAGGTTTGAGAAACCTTATTCTAGATAAATTTTTCCCAAATGTTAGTCACACAGAATAACACCTTTACTCTTTATTTAAATATATTTTTATTGATTTCAGAGAGGAAAAGAGAGAAAGAGATCAGTGATGAGAGAAAACCATTGATCGGCTGCCTCTTGTATGCCCCACACTGGGCATCAAGCCCACAACCCAGGCATATGCCCTGACTGGGAATTGAACTGTGACCTCCTGGTTCATAGGTCGACCCTCAACCACTGAGCCACATCAGCTGGGCCCCCTTTACTATTTTTGTCCTGTTTCCTGTTTAATATTTTCTCTTTATGTCAACTCACTTTCTAAAAATTCAAGTTAATTTTAAAGTTTGTGCCCCAGAAAAAATAAATACAATGAAAACAACATGGTGTTATAGGAAATAAATAGACTCTGTTGTCACATACTCTATGCTAAAAGTTAGAACTTGTTAGATGTATTAAACACATTATTAAGCTCCAGTGGACGCTTTTTTCTTGACTTATAATAAATAATCACCGCCAAGTGCTTGAGTGGTGCTTAAAACGTCATATTGGTGAAATCAAATAACATCTAAAATCATTCTTTGGACAAATCCCATACTTGAAAAATACTGGTTATTCATGTGAAAGGAAAGTTGCTTGAACTGTATTTAGTGATGCCCCTAAGGAGAAATGACTGGCTGGAAATACACACTGTGAGATGGAAAGATGTAGGAATTCATAGGTCCATCTAGGCTTCTTGGGTAAAATTACTTCTTGGCTTGATTTGTCACTCTTCCATTAGTGTTTTGGTGTGGTGGTCAGCAGTTCTGGAAGATTTCACCAACCTGCTCCATAGTAGGACATTGAAAAGGTGCTTGGTTATAGGGAAAGGTGCTTATTAAAGATAACCTCTGGACTAGAAACGGGGGGTAGAGGGGTGAAGTGGTGGTGAGTCTACGTTATGGACTGGAAAAAGTAGGGCATACTTACTAGGAAACAGTTGATCCACCTCAGATTCTAGAAACCATGTATTTGTAAATTGAGAAGTTACTGTGTTACAGCTTAATTTGCCTCAGTATTAGAGGGGATACTTCCCCAGACGTGATCTTCTGTATATTTGTTCTCTGATATGTTTTAGGGTATCACAATTGCTAATAGGAATAGAATCTTAACTTTCTTGAATATCACCAGATTGCTGAGTTGCTTTAGTTATTTCTTTCTTTCTTTTTCTTAGAGATGGTGGACATATTTGTTTCTGTTGTCTTTTTAAAAAAAATATTTTATTGATTTTTTACAGAGAAGAAGGGAGCGGGATAGAGAGTTAGAAACATCAATGAGAGAGATCGATCAGCTGCCTCCTGCACGCCCCCCACTGGGGATGTGCCCGCAACCAAGGTACATGCCCTTGACCGGAATCGAACCCGGGACCCTTCGGTCCGCAGGCTGATGTTCCATCCACTGAGCCAAACCGGTTCGGCTGTTTCTTTTGTCTTTTGACTCTGCAGTAAAGTAGTGACATAGGACTCGAATCCTAGAAGGACTGAAAGTCTAGTGGGGAGTGAAGAATTTTACCCATGAATAGTTTTATTTTTTTTTTTATTTTTATTTTTTTTTTTAAATATATTTTATTGATTCTTTACAGAGAGGAAGGGAGAGAGATAGAGAGTTAGAAACATCGATGAGAGAGAAACATTGATCAGCTGCCTCCTGCACACCTCCTACTGGGGATGTGCCCGCAACCAAGGTACATGCCCTTGCCCGGAATCGAACCTGGAACCTTTCAGTCCGCAGGCCAATGCTCTATCCACTGAGCCAAACCGGTTACAGCTGTTTATTTTTTTAAGTGATGAATTCTGTGATACTGATTATAGGTGTCTAATTTTAAAAAATTGTTTAAAAAGTACAAAGACAATTCAGAGACTTATGAGAATGACCAAATGTTATTTCGTGTATTTTCCCCTACATGGTATAGGGGACTGTGTAGGGAAACGTAAGGGACTTCATTTGTAATACTTAATTTGAGGAACCTATTTTGTGTATATTTTACACATTATTTCTTCTATGTTTCAGTAGTTGTAAGGCTCAGTCTCCTTCATGGTATTTTCTGTTTTTCACTTTAACTTTCTTCATCATTGAGTTGTCTGTCACTTCTGTCTTTTGATATTCTCATTTTTTCCCCCTTTTTATTTTCGTCACTAGTTTTTAGATTTGGTAAGGCTCTACTTAGCTTTTGTAGTTATCAGTGAGAACTTGTCCTTTTAAAAAAGTGTTTCAGTTGATTTTTAGAGACGAAGCAAGAGAGAGAGAGAAAGAGAAACATTGACATGAGAAATAAACGTCGATTGTTTGCCTCCCATACACACCCCTACTGGAGACTGAGCCCACAACCTGGGCATGTGCCCTGATGAGGAATTGACCTGGCGACCTTTTGGGGCATGGGGCAACGCTCAACCAACTGAGCCACACCAGCCAGGGCAGAACTTGTCTTTTTAATCAGCCAATTGCTTTTTCCTTGGTTCTTTTCAACTATTTCTTCATAGCCAGATACAGCTTTTGCTACTTCTAATTTTGTGTATAGGAAGTTCTGGATGATAGAAGACACCAGGTATCCAGAGTACAAGTTTTACTGAATCAGAATTGCAGCTCTGCAAGTAAGTATCAAAATATAAATTTAGCAGGCTGCAACTTTTTAATGACTGACTTTATGACATATATCCATAAGACAAATTCTATATAATTCACTTTTAGAACTTAATTTTTAGGAATCTATTCACCCATTTCTAATATATTTCTTAAAACTAAGAGGAGAAATATGTAGATAGGTATTCTAAAGCATGTATCCTCCTAGAAATGTGATGGCATTAATTCCTGCCAGTGGCCAAGACTCTCTGCTTTGTATAATGAGAGAAGAGAAGGTTGTGGCAAGGGGTGAAATAGAGCCTTGAGATATAGCCACTTTAGTATTCTGTTAGCTCTTAGAGTCTATAAGCTCTTTCTCCTACTACCAAGGCTGTTTCCTAGCCTCATTCCTTATAATTTTGTTATTTGGATTTTCATAGGCAAGTAGGCTGGTCGGTTTAAGAAATTATTTTAATGAATCTATGATCATATTCAGTAAGAATGAACTTTTTCTGCAAATTTCTTCTGCAGTGGGCATTGCATTTTTTAAAATGTTGGGCTTGTCATAGTATTGTGGTGGAAGTGTTATTAGTATTTGTAATTATAAACCTGTAGGACTATATAAAAGTGTTAAGAGGGATAGCCTTTCTGAACTGTATAGTACCCTTATTTTTGCATTTTTCTGGAGGAAAGAAAAGCTGCTGCTCCTTGGTATGACTGTAAGTTGTGTTAGAAAGAAGTGACTTGCTATTTGGAAGAATGAGAATGTCATAACTGGTTCTTCCCACTGTCATTTTTGGTTGAGTACACTTTCTTTCCTTTCCTTATGTAATAAATACATTCGTGAAAGTTTGATGTGTATCGGATTATATTAAATGTTTTCAAAACATAATGAATTTAAGTTAAGACATAGTGAGTCCTTATATAAGTGAATTATGTACTTTGAATTGTATAGATATGAAGTAAATTAAACAGTGTGTTTATTTAGAAGGGAACATGGGGTACTTTTTTAGGTTAATTACAAAAGAGTTCCTCTAGGTGAGTTTTAGGTAGAATTCTAAAGGAACAATAAAGGTAGGTGGGAGAAGTTAGTAGAGTTGGTGAGAAAATTTGAGAAGGGTGCAAAAGTAATAAAATTGGTTCTTTAGTATGATAGTCACTGTGCAGCAGTAGTCACCTGCTTTTACCTTGGTCCACATGAAGACATAATGATTTACTAGTACAGGGGAGGTCTTCTGCCCTGCCCTGTCCTAGACTATAAATTGGCCATAGGTCTTTACATGGCCAATTTGTGGATCAGTAGCTTATATTTGAAGAAATGGTAATAAGAGGGTGGAACATTTCTCTGCATTTGAGGACTCAAGGGCACAGGGAAACAAAAAGCTTTAAGTATTTAGTTATATATCTCTCTTTCTAGCTCTGGCTTTCCTTTCACTGAAGAGGTATGGCTTTTATTTTAGAGGGAATGTGCCTATCCTGTCCCAAGCCAACAGTGATATGTGGCCCCTAACGAGTGTACCTGTGGGGAGAGCTTTGGTCGTCACATGGGTGAATATGGGAGGGCTTTCCCCCATTTATAAATGGGTTGTTTTTGTTTGCTTTGTGTGCTGTGCTGTTGGGTTTTCTCCTGTTTTCCCTAAGTTGAGCTTTAAGCTAATTCTGTACAAAATTCTGTACAACTAATTAGTTATTTTTATAAATTGCTTGCAATTAATGCCTGATAATATGCAGTAAAATAAGGTATCTGCATACCATTATGTATGTCAAATATTACAAACTTTAAGGTTCTTTTGAAATTATAATACTAAACTCAGTTCACTTTTGCTTAGCCTTCACAGTTGTTGATCACATAGCATGGTCATCCACTCACAGCTTAAAAAAATACAGGGAGCATCGGAGAGAATGGGTAAAGTAAAATTTTGATGTTTTTAAAATAGCACCTAAATCTGTGAAAGTTGATTTGAATTATTGTTTGTATGGGAGGGAGAGGGTGGGTAGCATTGGAGGGTGGGGGTGGGTATTGGGAAAATAGCATGCACCATGTAAAATGATATCAGATACCATCTGGGCTAAGGTTTTAACTACAGTTTAAGTCTAAGTCAGTTTCAGAAAAAGGCAGGACCATAAAGTGGCAGTGTTAAGATTTACAGTGTGCTTAAAAATTTCCCTTCCAACAGATTGAAGGGGATTTGGAGAATAGCAGTATTTGAGTATAGTTTGGGCAGCACCCTTCTTTTTAATGGTCATATTCCCTGAGTGAAACTGTCTCAGTACCACTTAGGCTCTGTTGCATTACTTAGAGACCCCAAGAGGAATAATATGCATTTCAGTTTTTATTGTACACCTGTGACTCAGGTGTTCCCAAATAAAGGTTATAATTCATGAAACTCATGAAGGGGTTGAGTTGCTGGTAGGAGATATTAATAGAAAATTTGATGCTTCCAATTAAATTCTAAAAACTTAACATTGTAGTTATGTACAAAGTCTAATGAATTATTGTGGAGCTTATAGAACAGAGAGACATCCATGTGGTTATGGGTAAGACATTTTGTTGTTAACGCAAATAACTTGGCCTAATCTCTGCCCCATTATTTTTAAACTTCTAATTTTTTCACTTTGTTTACACACAAAATCTGGATTGAAGAGAACAATGGAAAAAATTATTTCTTTTTCCTTTGGTCAAAGTCCTATTTTTTCTTTAAAATTTGGCTACTCCTTATATGAAGCCTTTCCTAACATCTCCAGTCCTTGGTGGTCATTCTAGTCTTAGAATTCCTAAGTACTTGAAACATCAGTTTGGCACTTGGATCAGGCTACATTGTATATTACTTGCTACTTCATTTGAGTGTCCTGTTTCTCTTAGCAAAATCATGGACTCCTTGAGGGTACAGAGCTTGTCTTCTATGCCTCTTTGTAACCCCATTGTCTACCACAGAGGATGTGTTCACTAATAGGTTTGATTCTATGATTTCAATCCGATAATAGTGTAACAGGGTAATTGTTTTTTCTTACTTTAGGTTATTTTTATATGAATATATTCCTAGAACACCCAAAGATAAAGTACATCGAATGCATAAAATAATTCCTTGCATTATAAGGAGATTTGATTCATATTTGTTCTCTATTGATTGTAGTCTCTCCCTCCCCTCCTTTTTTCCCCCCAAATGGGCACTGTTTTACCTAGTTTTGAAAAATATGGTTTGGGCCAGATATCTTGATAGAAACTAAAATTACTGGTATTTTTATTTTAAAATTTTTTTGTTGGTTTTAGCCAAAGGATACTTTTATGGCGTATGCCCAAATTTATTAAGTACTTCATGGACATGGTAATATAGCCAAATTATTTTTAAAAGTTTTAAGTCTCTTAAGTAAAACTTTAAAAATACCAATAAACAGATACTCAGTTGCTAGTCCCTCTCAGGGTATTTCTGTATCTCAAATTACTAGGGATTTTATTATTTTGTTTTTTAAAGTTTCTATAACGTATAGGCTGATTTTTGATAGCTGTGCATATTGTGTTTACTACAGTTATCAAATGTATAAAGAGCAATCACTTAAATGCAATGAGAAGGTATTTTAAATACTTTTTGGTGTTTATAGAAACTGATTTCTTTTAAAGCTCATCAGGAATGTTTGCTAAATTGATACTTGCAATTGTTCATATTTTATCTGACAGCTGTGTCTTCAGGGCACGTGTCTTAGTATTAGATTTAATGTTGTGATTTCTGAAGCAAAAACAGTCGCCCTACTTGAAATGTTTGATTGGTAAAACTTATTGAATCTTGATTTTATTTTAAGGCCTGGTTTATAATCTTTTAGCCATTATTTTGACAGAGCACTGAAACGACACTGCTATTGCATTACTGAAAAGCGTAGATACATGTAGCAAGGGGACTTCTAGCTATGGAAGTTTTTTTATTTTTTATTTTTCCTCAGCTTAAAATATCATCCTTAAATTTCTTAGCATAATTTGGGTGCAGATTTAAAATTAAAAAAATTTTTTTTTACATGCCAAGAAGCAAAAAGCCTGTAATAAGCATTGCCATTTTGTTGTGAGCTTATCATAGTATCATTCTAACAAGAGCGCAAGGCCCTCACTAAAGTCTGAATGAAATAGATCTTTTAAAAAATCTTTAAAAACCCCAGTTGGCCCAAAGACCACTTTCGAGAGCTCCAGCCTTGGACTTTTACCTATGGTTGGGTATATTCTTCTCTAAGATTACACACTTGTTAAGTCAATATTTAAAAAAATAAAAACACCCTGATTTTGTTCACTTTTGTTTTCATATACAAGAATCTTTACAATCAACATGTACATCTAGATGCTGTATTGAAATTGCTGGCAGAGTCTATTCTATACAAACTGAACAATCTGGCCCCTTGTTTTATTTGTAAAGGTTCAATGTATCTATGCCTGACTACTTCAATCTGCAAGGGAGTGTCAGAAAGGCCCCGCATTCGCCGAGCCGTGAGTTATTGCTAACTTTTCAGATGTGTTAATGAATGTGGAACAAAAGCAGTTGTGTTTAAAAGGAAAAAAGGATCAGTAAAATTACCTTTATTATAGTAGCAGGCGTGAACAATAAATGAATTATTCCACATTGTGGTGTTGGAAATAACCTACTTTAACTAGAGACTAGCCTCTAGAAAACCTATTGTTGAACTGCTCTGAAGCTATCATGTTAGCTATAAATTACTCTTCTTAAAAATACATATTTCCTGCTTACAAATCAGACTTACAATTAAGTATTTTTAACCACATTAAAACAATTTGAACAAAATCTTACCCCACCTAAAAACGACAGTATTTAGTTGACTTTAGTTAGTTGACTCTTCAAAATAAGACCACATAAAAGGGGTAAAGTTTTAACCATTTTTGTAATTCACATGTGAAAAACAGAAATTAATTCAAATAATTGAATCACTTCCTAGGTGAAAGTTTTTGGAGTGCCTCAGGCATCATGTGAAGTACAGATGTGTTTACACTCTATTTTGGTACCAACAGTTCTCGCTTCAGTAATTCACCAGTAGGTTTTCATTCATCAACGATGATATCAATTGAAGGGTAAAATAAAAACACATTTTTTTAGGGCTACCACTCTACATAAAGGAATTGTCATTAAGAGTTTTTTCTTTTTCCAAAGAGGTTCTAAGCAAAAAAAATTACAACTGCCATCTATATTTTGTTATTAGAGTAGTTAGTTACCTTTTGTTCCTTAGAATTTGTAAATTTTTTAGTGGATAGGCATCACTAGCAGGTTGGATGCTTCTATTGCTTAGGAGGTGTATTGTGCTATATGAAGACAGAATTTAAATGTTAGGCCATATATATAGCACAGGCTACATAAAACTTGGAGGTGTGGGGCCTTTGGAGGCATTACAGTTAACTTTTCATTTAGGCAATGTGCCTTTGTTTGACTGGTGTGTAAGTCCTTCTTCCAGGTTTGTACACTCTTAAACACGTTATTCTACCCTCTCTAACTCCTCCCAGCAGCAAAAGGGAGACACTTCAGCTGGAACAAAATAGTGGAAGAAATGGCGTCTGGGGTTCAGTGGGGATTCGCAGTGTGTATGCAATATTTGCAAGATTACTTTTTATGTTTTTCAGTTAATTAAATAATTACAAAAGAAATCAATGCTTAGTGTCAAGTAGGGAATGTTGTATACTGGTAGAACTGTCCTAGTGGGTCTACTGCAAGTCGCTTAACCTCTCCAGGCCACAGTTTCCTCATCTGCAATGTGAAGGAGTTGGACTCAATAATCCTTAAGGTCCATTCCTGCTCTAAATCCTATGCTTTTCTGAATTACTTTAACAGAATGCATTGCTTTCCCACTTTGACTATTTAAATTACATCTGCAGTACACGTACTGCAACTGCATGTTGTTTAAAATCGTTTTTTTCATAAGATATTATATAAAGAACTAATCCCTCTTGAGCTGATTTATAAATGTGTGTGTGTGTAGCCACACATTAAGAGCTAGCAATAATCGGGCTTTCAGAAAATAAACATTTTCTAGTTGTCTAACCTTGAATGTTATTAACTTTCCTATATTACAGGAGATACTACTCGTCAACGAATCAAATTCAGTGATGACAGAGTATGCAAGAGTCACCTTCTCAACTGTTGCCCTCATGATGTCCTCTCTGGGACTGTACGTATTTATTAAATCTATTATCTGATAATTTTATACTATAAAAATGAACTACTAATCTTATTTTTCCTTTTTTTTTTTTTTTTTACTACTTGATAAAGTTAATTCCTAATCTAATTATTATGCAATGAATTTTTAAAAACTCTTTTTGTTTGTTTTGTTAATCCTCACCTGAGGATATTTTTTCATTGATTTTTAGGGAGAGTAGAAGAGAGAGGGAAAGACAGAGAGAAACATCTATGTGAGAGAAAAACATTGGTTGGTTGCCTCCTGCACGAGCCCTGACCAGGGCCCGGGCCAGGGAGGAGCCTGAAACCAAGGTACGAGCCCTTGACCAGAACCGAATCTTGGGACCCTTTGGTCTGCAGGCAGACCCTCTATCTACTGAGACAAACCAACTGGGGCTATGCTATGATTTTTTTAAAAACAAAAACCACTGCTGTTAGATGAGGAATCTGTATATCTTATTTATTTAGGTTGATGATTTAATCTGCAAGAATGGGATTCCTCAAAATTAATTACTATGCTTTATAATTTTTTCTGTTCCTTGGCAATTTTTCAAAAAGCATTTCTGCCCAGCTGGTATGGCTCAGTGGTTGAACATTGACTTATGAATCAGGAGATCACGATTTGATTTCCGGTCAGGGCACATGCACGTGTTTCAGGCTTCATTTACCAGTAAAGGGACGTGCAGGAGGCAGCTTATCAATGGTTCTGTCTCATCATTGATGTTTCTATCTCCCTCTCCCTTTATCTCTGAAATTAATTGAAATATTAAAAAATAAAAAAGTGTTTCTTGTTTGGAATTCAGACACAGTAATTCAATAGCAATTGCACTTTTAGTTCAGAAATAATACAAGTGATTTAAAAAATAGTTCTTACTTTTGAGCAGAGTACACTTTTATACAAAACACCGTATATTTTTGTTAAAATTTGTGTGCATTTATATTATGGATATAATTCTGGGGAAAATATATTAGTAAATACTTAAAATCACACAGCTTAATTGCAAGTGGTGTTGCCACTTAAAAAATTCCTTTATATTGCTGACTCAATATAAAGCTCAATTTAGATTCTATGTCTAATGATGTTGGTTGATCTTAGAGTATCATCATTTTAATTTGGAAGATAATCCATATGATGATGGACCTATTTAAATGGAACAAAGGGTTATATTCCCTTTGGTTTGGATTTGTTTGAAATGATTACTCATTGCAAGAGCTCCCGTTATTAGGCTGCATCTGATGATGGTGGAGGAGGACTAGTAAGGGCTGAACATTTAGTTGACTTTATTTCTCATTTGCCAGAAGTGACTGAAATGAAGGAAAGACTCTTGACTTTGATTTTCAGAAGTGATGAGTTCCCTTAAAGATATCCAAAATGAGTGTTTTCTTTGTGAATAGGAAGAATTAAATGCCCCAAACAGATAGATATCAAGGCATACAATCTAGAAAGCACCTCTTTTTCCATTAGGAAAGACTATTGCAACTATATTATGTTAAAATGAAAAAAGGAGCCTACATTTAAAAATATGTGTATAATACTAAATTTTTAAAAAGTATAATACCACAAGAAGGAAATCCAGTTTCTGAGCACTTGAGTTTGTACTGTAACAGATAACTAACCCTCATATATACTCTTCAGAATTTTCATAATTAAAATATTTTCTACTATGCTATAAAAGAAATCTATGATTATTTGTAGTGTACTTTGATTCTCCACATATACTGTTAAATTTAACAGTTAAAATCATTTTATTCACTGGCTAAATTATCACTTCAACTAAATTTTGAGGACAAAATTAACAAAGTAGCAGAATTTAGGTGGTGTTTTTCTTCCTTTTTTTAATAAAGCCCAACCATAGCAAGACTCTGGCATATTATATTTTTCAAGTATGGCATTAATAAAAGTGTGACAGCACAGTTGTACTTTACATTTTAGGTACACATAATGTAATTGTACTCATTTATTTCTTGAAACAATTCTGTGAGGTATATAATCTATAGTTGGCCTTGATGAGATGGTGACTTATTAAAAATCATTTCGTTCTGTTGTTTTATTTATTTATTTTATTTTTATTTTTTTTAAATAGATATTTTATTGATTTTTTACAGAGAGGAAGGGAGAGAGATAGAGAGTTAGAAACATCGATGAGAGAGAAACATCGATCAGCTGCCTCCTGCACATCTACTGGGGATGTGCCCGCAACCCAGGTACATGCCCTTGACCGGAATCGAACCTGGGACCTTTCAGTCCGCAGGCCGATGCTCTATCCACTGAGCCAAACCGGTTTCGGCTCGTTCTGTTGTTTTAAAGTAAAACTGGGACCAAACCCAAATTTTCTGAGGTATAGTCTTACTCAACATGTTTGCTATTTTGTAGTGAGTATGTTAAATAAAACATTTCCTTGTAAAATTATTGCTGTTGTATTTATAAGATACACATTTTTTTAAATTTTGACATCTGAAAAATGCATCTCAGAGTTGATAGAAAAATACTTTATTAATTGGTAACATTTTTCTCAGTATAGAATTTAATGATGAGGCTTAAAATTGATATCTTGGATTATACATGAAAAACAGTTACTAAGGAAAGCCCTTCTAAAGGCAGTTGCCAGAGAAACTCTAGGCAAGAAATAATCTTTTTGTCAGTGTAATAGGGAAGGTATTGTTATATGGAAGGACGGGTTTTAATAGTTGTGAACCTTTCAGAATTTAAACATTTTTAAGTACTGGTATATAGGACTTTATGAAATTCCAGGATTGTCCTAGTGTAGTGTTCTTGAGAACTTAGAACCATCCATAGTGTGACATTCTCATGACCCTTATTACTAAAAGGGTATATTTATAGCAGTTCATCCTATGTAGAAATGGTTTGTAATTACAGAACTGTGACTTCTTTACCAGCCAGTCTTGTAGAACAAATGCTTTTCTGGCATAGTTCATACCTCTTTATGTGGAAGATGTCTGTGTGTTTTGGGTTGTTGTTTTTTTTAGTATTAGAGGATGAAAAGAACTGAATTGTAACTGTTGATTTTTATAATGCTTTTTCTTTGCCGTCTAACTAAAGTTTGCTCTTTAGTTTTCATGACCATGTTCCTCAGATCTCTCACTTCCAGCAGAATATGATTCACCAATATTCTGTGTTATTTAACAGCAGAATACATAGAAATGTATTAACTGGCTTTATTCATTGTAAGTGGTTGAAGTTTATATCAAGCACTTGAAGATGGAGAGTATGATTTCTAAAAATGTACTCAACTGACAATTAGTATGGAATGCTTTTGGAATTCAGTTTGATAAAAATGCCCTTATAACATTTTATCTTTTATTAATCTGATACTGAATTATAACTAATTCTTTAGTTAATAAATTATTCAGAGGAGGAAAATGTAGAGCGAAGAATCAAAACAATTGTGTGTATATAAATATCTTTGGATTGTGATTTTTAGAAGAAGCATGAATATCATTTATAATTTAGTAATTTACTGTTTTTCAAAGCCTTGGGTTGTTTCCCTATTCATCTAGAATACTTTCTTGTTTTAGTTCTTTCTTCCTCCCCTTGCACACTTGGTTTCTCCCTGTTCTATTCATCCCCTTTCAGATTTAGGCAAAACAAAAAACCTAAGCAGAGTTGTCCTCTTCACCCCCAACACATTGTTTCTGTTACATAGCTTCATGAGGAAAGATAAGTATATTAAAGAGCTTTTAAAAACAAAACAAAACAAAACAACTTTCCATCTGGTTCTTAGTGATCTAGGGAAAAGATATGTGATAGTAGTAATTTACAGAAGGCATTAAATCTAAAGCAGAGACAGTAACATAAGCTTGAAATGAAGATCTGCAGAGATGAAAATGTATACTCATAGTGTGCCTGTCCTAAGTTCAGAAATGGCCATTACTAATTTTATTATAGCCTTCATCATAGTATAATTTTAGCATTGACAGATCGTCATGTCTTCTTGCATAAGGTCATGATTTCATAGATGGGGAAAAAATTTAAGGCTCAGAAATTGTGCTAGTCAGATATATCATAATTAAAGAATCAATTATTATGCAACATAGGAATCTCGGAGTAATTTAAATCTAAATACTTTAAAAAATATATTTTTATTGATTTCAGAGAGGAAGGGAGAGAGAGAGAAACATCAATGATGAGAATCATTGATCAGCTGCCTCTTGCATGCCCCACACTGGGGATTGAGCCCACAATCCACTCATTTGCCCTGACCAGGAATTGAATGTGACCTCTTGGTGCATGGGTCAACCCTCAACTGAGCCACGCCAGCCGGGATCTAAATACTTTTTAAAAAGCTTTTTGCTATTATTTTTGATAACCTAGGGCAGTGACTTTTAGATGTTTCTGAAATGTCTTTGGAGGGTTTACATGGATATGGGGATAGGCCAGTCTTTCCTATTTCAGTTAGAATTTTACACATTTTAAATATATAAAATTTCCACGAAATTTTGTCTAAATAAATTCTCAAAAATAGAATTTAAATTTAGAGAACTGATATTGAGAAATAGTCAAGGACAGGGATAAAGTTTTATCAGCCTTTTTGAAGTGATTGGATGGGAGTTATTTACAAAAAATTCTGACTGAGTTGATTTTATGGTGCCCCAGTAGGTTGTGGGTTTTATCTGAAGTGCAATTTTTACTAATTGAAACTCCTTTATTGCTTCTCTAACTCTTTCTTTTAAGGCCTGGTCTAAAATCAGTTACTTGGGTGCATACAAACCTGAACTTTAAAACTACTGAAGTCTCTTTCATAGTACATATGTAAAAGAGCCATGAAAGTATGGAGAAGCAGAATAAGTGATAAGAAGTAAACCTGCACAAAATTTTCTCAACCAGCCACTAGAATGTAAGTTTCATTATAAGGGCAGGGACATTGTTTTGTTCAGTGCTATATCCCCAGCATCTAGAAGGGTCCCTCTGTTGTGTTGAATGAATAATTGATCCACCCAAAACTAGAATGCTCAATAAATCTGTTTCAAAAA